ACCCTGCTGCGGCGCTGGTGGTGATGCTCTCCACGCTGCTTTGGGGACGAGGGGTGAGGACCCAACCCCAGGAGATGTTGAACCGCTTCGGGTCACATCAGTCGGCTCGTTTGGGATATTTTCTCTTTGGGCCTTTTGCCCCCAGCGCAGGGCTGAGACCTGCCCCGCTCGCTCCACCTCCGCAGGGGTGGCTGGAGGGGCTGGCTCTGCTCTCGGTACCCCCCAAATTGCCCGTGTTCCCTCGCTGGGCCCAGAAACACCCCGCAGCGCCTCGACCGAGCAGCTCTGCCACTTAATTAGGTTAATGACAGTGCTTCATTACGGAAAGGCGGCTGACGAGTTTGCACCGGCGCTGGGAGGTGCGTTTCCAGGCGTGGTGGCAGCCCGGCAGATTTGGGGCACAGAAGGGGACAGGGAGCGGGGAAGGGGAAGCAGGGAAAAGGGAAAGCGGCGGCGAAGTGCTGATCCCTGGAAAGGAGGGCAGCCTGAGCACCGCGCCGCGCAAAGTCGGTGTTAATCCCTCATCGGCGAAGATCGTGCCTGCGGCTGCCTTAATCTCCGCTCCAAGAGGGCGACGCTGGGGACGGGGACGGGAGGACTGGTCCCTACGTGCGGTGCTGAGCGTCCCCCGTCCTGCGGGACCTCGCTGAGCCCAGGGCCTGGGAAGGATTTGTGCCTCTGGGCAGTCTCCTACGCCTGTGTGTGCACCATCAGCGGCACGGAGCGGGTGTGAGAAGCCGAGATGCGGATCTGCAAGTGTCTCCTCTTGCAAGTATCTCCCCCTGCCTCAGTTTCCCTGCTCTCCTAACGGTGCGTGCGGGCGGTGAGGCTTGTTTAGCCCCGGTTTGCATAGGGCACCGTCCCTGGGTCACAGGTTAGGTGCTGAGAAAGGGGTCCGGAGGGTTTCCTTGGGGGGCTGGGACCTTATCAGGGCCATGGGCCTTGGTTTGGGGAGCGTTTTTGAGTCTTAACCCACATATGGGTGATCTGGGGCTGGGTAGGACTTTGTAAGCCTCGCCCGGGCTCACCGCTAACGCCGCATCTCTCTCCCTTCCAGGCGCATGGGAGAATGGTAGTGAGCCCGTAAGACCATGCTCTACACAATGACATGTTGGCTCCCGGTCCTGGTCCTCCACCTGGTCCTCCTGAGCCCCCCGCGGGCGGCAGCCTGCCCTGCCCGCTGCGAGTGCGCCCCGCAGATCAAGTCGGTGGTGTGTCACCGTAAGCGGCTCACCTCCATCCCCGAGGGCATCCCCACCGAGACCAAGATCCTGGAGCTCAACAAGAACCGCATCCGCTGCCTGAACCCAGGGGACCTCTCCCCGTACCCGCTGCTGGAGGAGCTGGATTTCAGCGAGAACATCATCTCCAATGTGGAGCCGGGCGCCTTCAGCAACCTCTTCAACCTGCAGACCTTGCGGCTGCGGGGGAACCAGCTCAAGCTCATCCCCCCGGGGGTCTTCACCAAGCTGACCAACCTCACCCTCCTAGACATCAGCGAGAACAAACTCGTCATCCTGCTGGACTACATGTTCCAGGACCTGCGAAACTTGAAGAGTTTGGAGGTGGGCGATAACGACTTGGTGTACATCTCCCAACGGGCCTTCTCGGGGCTGCTCGGCCTGGAGCAGCTGACCATCGAGAAGTGCAACCTGACCTCCATCTCGGCCGAGTCGCTCTCCTACCTCCAGAACCTGGAGGTGCTGCGGCTCCGGCACCTCAGCATCTCCGCGCTGGAGGACCAAAACTTCAAGAAGCTCTACAACCTCCTGCAGCTGGAGATCGACAACTGGCCGCTGCTGGAAGACGTCTCCCCCACCAGCTTCCAGGGCCTGAACCTCACCTCGCTCTCCATCACCTACACCAACATCACAGCCGTGCCCGCCGCTTCCCCGCCGCTGCCTTGAGGAACCTGGTGTACCTCCGGTACCTGAACCTGTCCTACAACCCCATTAGCACTGTGCTGAAGGGCTCCTTTAAAGACCTCATCCGGCTCCAGGAGCTCCACATCGTGGGCGCTCTCTTGGTGTCCGTGGAGCCGCAGGCTTTCTCCGGCCTGAGACAAATCCGGCTGCTCAACCTCTCCAGCAACTTTCTCTCCACGCTGGAGGAGAGCACCTTCCATTCCGTCAACACGCTGGAGACGCTGCGGGTGGACAGGAACCCCCTGGCCTGCGACTGCCGCCTCCTCTGGATCCTGCAGCGACGGAAGACGCTCAACTTCGACGGGCAGCAGCCCATGTGCTCCTCACCGCCCGAAATCCAGGGCAACGCCCTGCGTGACTTCCCGGACTCCGTGCTCTTCGAGTACTTCACCTGCCAGAAGCCCAAGATAAGGGATCGGAAGCTGCAGCATGTGACGGCCCGGGAAGGGCAGTCCGTGTCCTTTCTCTGCCGGGCGGATGGGGAGCCGGACCCCTCCATCGCCTGGGTGTCCCCCCAGCACCGCATGATCACCACCCGCAGCACGGGGCGGGCGACGGTGCTGCCCGGGGGCACGCTGGAGATCCGCTTCGCCCAGGTGCAGGACAGCGGCACCTACATCTGCATCGCCAGCAACGCGGGAGGCAACGACACCTACTTCGCCACCCTGACGGTCAAGGGGCGGCCAGCCCACGGCTCCCACTACG